TCCCAGAATATCCGGATATTCCTCGGGGCATATCCGGATATGCAATATCCAGATATCTCATTGACCATATCCGGATATACAATATCTGGATATCCAGATTCCCATATCCGGATATCCAATATCCGTATATCCAAATCCCATATCCTGATATCAAATATTCGGATATTTCACGGGCAGATATCCAGATATTTCACGACAGAATGCAGAAGCTGCATTTCGTGAAGATATCCTTCCAAGGTTGGGTTTTTATCGATTTTAGACACTGACACATACATTTCTAGGTGTGTTAAGCATTATCCAACGTTAAGTTATCATCTTTTAGCCTTTAGATGCATCAAGGTTCCATTTTTAAGCATTAAACTTATGATCAAAGGTTGGTACAACATACCAAAGCTCAAAACAGAAAGACAAGGGCTCTTAGAGCTCTCCAAACAGCTCCAACACTTCTGACTTCCAAGGAAAATGAAAATGGCTCAACAAGATGAGTTCTTTCTTCCGCAAAGGTGATACTTTGTAGCTCAAAATGCCTTAACAAAGGCTCAACCAACTCAAGCTCACCAACTCAGCCTACTACCCTCAAACACAGTAGCTGGAACACCAAGACAAAGCTATCTCTCACCCTCACAAAGCCACCCACAAGTGTTTACAAGGAGGAAATGTGAAGAAAATCAAGAAAGATCACAACTTGGCTCAAGAAATGGAAGGGAAGGCCAATGGAACAGTAACCAACAGATGGTCAGCGCCAAACTCACGTATAGAAATCTAATCCTAGGGTTTTTTGCCCATAATAAGGCTATTTATAGCCCAAACACACTTAAACACACAGTATTAGCTTTAATTGCTACGCTTCGCATTTTAATCCCAAACTTTGGATTCTTAACCTACTCAATTTTACAAGAATTATCATATTTTTCTTATAATTTCGGAGCACCTTTCCGGTACGCGCTTTTCATAGTCAGTATCAGTTTCTGGCACCAGTTCTTATTATTTGGACTTGAAACTCGTTTTACAAGTCCTATATATTATTCTAGTAATTATCATGCGCTTATTATAATTTTCCGGGATACTTTTTCGGTACGCATTTATACCGACTAGCATAACCGGTATCTGCACTTTTCTTTTGAAAAGCGACTTTCAGCATTCTGAATCACTTACTATAATTATTAAAGCCTCTTAATAATTATTAAGGTCAATTATGGAATCATTTCCTAATTTTGCATAATTAATTAATTAAATTCCTTTTTTAACGGTGCGGGTTCTTACACTAACCAGCTGCACCTTCAAGATTTCAGGCACCCGTTGTAACCTAAAGTATAGCTCTAATAAAAAGATCCATGTATTTGGATCTTGAGTGTTGAAGATTGGAATTTCCATCTTCACCGTCTTGCACAATGTGCGAGAACCAACATTCTCGAAGTTAGCATGCGTAAGAACAATATGAGCAGGAGAAGTATGTGAAACTTATGGCGCCATCTTACGAAGGCGGGCATCAATTGCAGCTAATGAATCAGTAATAAGCTCCAAGCAATAAGTGATGTTGCAATTCACTATGATGAGATGCAAATTTTTCAGCAAGTTCTTGATCTTTCATGATGATGGAGCTAAAGACATTGAAAGCACCAGTTGCTCCGAATGGTATCAAGAATAGAGAAAAGAACTTAACAAACAAGGATGATATAGGTTTTCATTATTCAGATGAATGGAATTGTACATGCTTATTCACTTTTATATCATATGCCTATTGGGCCGAAATATGCTCAGGAAAAAGTGGGAGGAAAAGTGGTTCGGGGCAACTATTCTTTACAAGCATCTATTAATCAATTGTAGAGCAAATCTACCCAATCTTTGCAAGCGTATGTATAACACCTCACATTTCTAAATTATATATTAATATATTAAATGAGGATTAAAGAGAAGGATTAGTGAAAATCGTGGAAATTAGGCTAAAATGCAAAGGAAGGGTAAAATGATAATTAGCCAAACACGCAACCCTAGGAAGGTAAAATTGAGTAGAAGGTCTCAAATGATGAAAATAACCTTGGAAATGGATTTAGAACGAAAAATTGAGTGGTTAGGCAAGTTTCAGAAAATTCAATGAATAGTATTTTTATCGGGTAAAAATACTGCGGTACAGTTGCACCGTAAAATGTGCCGATTGAGTTTAGAGCTCTAGGTTTTGAGCAGAAGCTATAAATGGTATATAGGACTAGGAAATGTGATTTCTGATGAAATTTGACGAAAATTAGTAAGTTTGGGGAAGCGTGCCTACGACGCTCGTAACAGCTTAAAACTGCAGTTTCTCCGAACGACCGGAAAACTCAGGATTCATTTGATCAAGGATAATTAAAGGACAATGGTTAATGTTAAAAATTAGAGTTTCTAAATAGGTTCTGAATTTATGGACGTTTAGTGGAATCAGAGAAAAATTCGAATTAGTTTGAAATCGCGTGAGGTGGCGGTGGGGCCCACCTCACTTAAAATCACTTAAGACACATAAGCATATGTACTATTCATCATCACCTTCTCTCCTCACCTTCATCAAACCCGCGGCCCTCCCCCTCCCAAAGCCCCATTTTCATCTCAAACTTCATTCTCCTCTAACTCCATCAATGCCTAACCAAATCAAGTGATTTTTGACTTGAAATTTGTTGAAAATCACCTCCCAAACACATTGGTGGTAGTCTTGAGCCATGAAACCCACTATATTTTGAGAAAACCCCCCAAACCCGCGACCCTTTGCTAGAGATTTGTATTCATGGAGTTGCTAGAAGCTCCAATGGTTTAGTGTGTCTTGGAGGAGTCTTAGGCCAAGCTATTGAGTAAGTTTCATCACTTTTTATTGGTGGGATTGTTGATTTTCATTTATAAACCCTAAGTGCATTTTGTATGATTTGTGTAGTAGAGAGCTCAAATGGAAATTGTGTATTAGATGAATATGTCTTAGAATGATGTGTTGGAGCCATAAATGCAATAAAATTTATTGGTGAAAAAATGAGTTTAACTTAGTGGAAATTTGGATGATGCCATGACTTTGTGTTGAAGATTGTTGTTAGGATTGTGTAATTGGATTGTTGTATGGTTGTATGAGTTAATAATAGGATTGTATGAGGTGTGGAGTAATTGAATTGGATTGAAAATCCCTTGGTATGTGCTTATGTGCATTTCGGCCTTGTGAGAGAAAATGAGGATTGGATGTTGTAAAAAATAATTGGTTGATGTGTTGTGTTGTTAAATGGAATTAGAAGGGATGTGTGATGGTTGGAAGCTTGGAAAATCAATGGAAAAATATTGGATGGTGTTGGATTATGTATTGAACCTAGAGCGAATTAATTGGAAAAATGATGTTTGAATGATGTAGGATGCAAATTGGCACCTAAAATGACATTGGGGTAACCTTGGGATGCTTAAGAAAAATGAAAAGAAAATAAAGAAAAATATTTTGTAATTTTTCACTACAATGGCCGAACCTACCATGGTGTAGGGGAGGAATTTGACGTTTTTGGATTTTGATAGAATTACCGTGTGTCGATGATCTGTACATGGTCATTGTAGGTTGTCGTACGTGGATTTGAACTCCGAACCGTGAGCTCGGTGGGTTGCCCTTGGTCCCGGACCAAGTGGGATTGTGATGCGTATTTGAAACCATGCTTGAAGAGTTAATAACTTGCATGTGTTTGTATGAATGGTAATTAATTGGGAATGTCCTATGTGTAGGCATTTCTGTTGTGGACCTAGCTCGGGAAATATACTACATTGGAGCTGTGGGAGAGGATTATACAGGTAAGTTCTTGGTACTGGGGTTTGATCCCTTTGTGTGTTCCACCATGCCCGTTGATGGTAATGGTAGGAAGTGTATGTAAATAATATAGGATAACATGTTCATGCATATTGTATGTGTGTTGGTACATAGGATGTACCGTGTCTCTGGCCAGTAGACTGTTTGCCTTCAGGCGTTACGGACTTCCACTGGATAGGTCTCCGTGAGGGAGTTCCAGTTGACCTGGGGTCGTGGTGTGTGATCCGGATAGGAGCACACTAGGAAGTCTCTGGTGGATATGGATGGAGGGTGCCTTGGTTTGATGTTCTGGGAACACGCCTTGGTTGAAACCCATAGGCTTATATGTCAAGCCAATGGGCTGGATGTTGCGTGGTTTTGGCATCGACCATTCCAGCTTTGTCGTATTTTGTATCCCTATGCTCTCCTATTTCTCTAAATACCTTGTTTTATCCCGTTCTCAGAGGTTATGTTATGTTATTTATATGCATCGAAGTGAGCCATTGAGCGGAGTATTCTCTAGAACCTCTGAGTTACTGAGATATATTCGTATATCTCACCCCGCTTTGGGGGCTTTATTTCATGAGGTAGCAGTGGAGTTGGAGCGGCGGGCAAGAAGCCCATAGGATTATTTGGACTTAGGATTACATATTTTGCATTTTGTTGGCCATTGGGCCTACGCTAGACTTAGCTCATGAACAATGCATGTGATTAGGATTATGAGTATCATTTTGTTCATAATGTATTTTGCCTAAGTCTAGTCTTGATTTATCATGTTTATTTTGGAGTATGTACTTTATATATATTTGAAGGAAGATTGTAATTGTAATATGTCATTTGGAGGATGTAACACCCTCCCTTGTATGAATCCAAGAGAGTTGTTTGCTAAGCGGATTAGAGTTCTAACGTCATTACTTAAATACTGAAAAATCATTTCTCTGTTGCTAATTAAAAACTTGAGTCGAAATCTAGTTGTTCATAAAAATCAGAGTGACAATTTTTTTTTTTTAAAAAAAATACATAGCTTGCTGAATTTCCTAACTTTCCTGACAGACCTTGCTGTCTTGTAAAATTTTTATAAAATCAAGTTCAACGATTCAAAAAAATATTCCTTGTTATATAGTAATCGGAGGTCGTTTGCCCCTTGAAACATAACTCGCAAAGTGCTCGCAAAACTGTTCACAAATTAGCACTTAATAAAACCTTTAGAAATTATTTTCACAAGACGTTTTCAGAATTTTTCCAAAGTAATAACTGATCATAAAAGTCTTAAAACAGTAGCTAAGTCATAGTTCCAACAGTAATCCAAATTTCCCAAAATAATACAGTCATCCATCAAGCAAACAGTAACAGCAAAAATCCAAACAGCAGCAATTAACAGCCATTATCCATATAACCACGTTCTCATATGCTCTTTCGTCCTCCTGCAATTTTTATAAAAATTGCAGCCCCAAAGGGGTGAGAAAAATCCCAGTAGTGTGATAGCAAAACCAATAATGCAACAGTATTAAACTAGGCACAAAATTATAAACAGTCACATCAACATTTCATTTTCCGGAGATGTATTAACATATCATAGTGCATATATAACGCCATCATTACGCTCATAGCACCATCGTGCGCGTACTTAACATATCATAGTGCGTATATAACGCCATCATTACGCTCATAGCACCGTCGTGCGCGTACTAACATACACAGTGGATATTCCATAATGGCTCCCAACAAAGGTGAATTCCAACTGTGGCCTATGCGGACTGAAGCCAAGTGTCCCATACCCTGGTACCGGAGGGATGCCTATATGATGCGTGCTCAAACATATGCATATTTATATAAATATTCTAATCCATGAACAGCATGAAATTCGTGCATGTATGCCATGATATGCTTCACACACAAACAAGAAACAAATGAATTATGAGGTGTATATGCATGACTAGATCATCAGCATAATAGCATATCTTTCATGTACTTTCTGTACCAAGCTGCCACATAACATTTACTTCTCATTCATGATTTTCCCATCTTGTCACATTCATAGGCAGCATACATATATCATATAATAGCACAGTAATCCAAGGCACATGTGAGTAACAATTCACAATTCTATACACTAGCTAATAGTCACATTAGGTAATACCACCAAACACTTACCTCGTGTCTTTAATTTTTAACCAATACATATATACATCTCAATTTCCATCCAGTCTTCTTGAGGTTGGTGACCCTAGACAAAAGGTACCAAAGTAAATCAAAATTCTAATTCTTTCTTACAATAACTCACATGAATTTTCCATGCTTCCTAATTCTCTGTTTTAATCGGATTCAGTGATTTTATTACACGCATAATTGTTTCTGTCTAACTTTTATTTACCAAAGTTATCAAGATGCAAGGCCAAGTTTTCTAACACATGCAATTCGGTTCTATACCACTAACAAAGGTTTTCTAACTTTCAGTTACACAAGTGCCAAATTCCACAACTCCTTATACACCTAGGTTCTGTTTTCATCGTCCATATGTTTATAATTTTATCCTTTTACATAGTATGCCCTACATGGTTTTAGGAGACATTAGTGAGGCTTAAGAATGCTGTCTACATAATTTTAACATATGCAGGGCTATGTATGTAATTTTAGTCTAAGGGAATAATCTAACCATTGATGGGCCATTTTCCAAACCCAAGCATTAATTCTTAAGACAAGTCAGCATCTAGGTTCATGGTTTAATCAGCTATGAGGAAGTGAATGACAAAAATATACAGCTCCTTAACATGAAGACAGCGCCCCAAAACAGAATCATGGGAAGAAATTACAACCATTTATATAGTTCCCTTTCATGCAATTGGTGACCGAAACAAAGGAAGAAAAGAGGAGCTAAAAAAAAATCAAATTTATCATCTCTCAAATCCTAGTCTTCTAACCGGGTCATCATGCTTCACTGTTAAAAGTTTTCTGCCTTATAATTTATTCCCTTAATAGATATCAATTGGCAAAAGTCCCATTATCCCTATATGCATACCAATACGGTCTTATAACTATCATTTAATAAGTTCTATTTCTTTCACTTAAACATAAATTACCTACATCCTCTAGGCATAATCACTCAATTGAATATATGATTTCTACACATTATTTTTCTAACAAAGAAAGCAGTCCAGCGATTTAAATGAGGCTAAATCCAGATTCACCAATTTTCAGTTTACAACATTAAATTTCCAGGTGTCCAAAGTGATAGAATTTAAAGGGAAGAATAGCTAAGATAAGGTATCCTCCTAAAATGCATGTGGGCCAACAAACAAGACATAAGGAAGGGTTTGATAAATTACTTACATCTACTTGTAGACACTTAAAATTCCCAAGTCGACTAGAGGCAGAAATTGAGTGCAGTATGAGTTTCCTCGCTTTCCCATTCTGCAGAACATGGTTTTTGTCTTCTCCTACACTGCTTGCCGTTTGCCCCCAAGGGGAAAGGAATACTGGTCCAGCTCAATCCATACAGGTTTGATACACAATATAATTCCACCAAAACAGTCCCACAACTTCATAAGAGAGCTACGGTCCAAGCTAAAATTGAGTCCTAAGCTTGCAAGTGTCAATGGCCTACACTCATCAGCTGAACCAAGGAAAGAAACCACAAGAATGACAACATAAGGACCCTTAGCCTGCACACAGCGGTTGGAACAGAGGAAAGAAGAGGACTTGATGTTCAACTACTACCTCTTTGTGCACACCAAGGTGCTCACAACCGGTCCAAAGGCATCAACCAACAGAGGAGTGGTACCCTCACCCTCCTCCTTGCGAGAACTCGAACTACCCATCTGCATGCAAGGGAAAATGGAACTTAATCAAGGCTAGACCAATTTCATTCAGTGGAAAAACTCAGTTAGAATCGTTCCAAGCAAGAGGGAGCTGAAAGAAAACAAGGAACACTTCACCTCCTCAAGATAGTTCCTCTGCCAAACCAGAGAAAAATGAAGAATGAATTGAGATGGTAATCTCCTCAGTAGTTGAACTAAGGCCGGGTCAGAATGAGAGTGAATGAGAAGTGAGCTGATGGAAGATTACGATTTTGGGAGGAATAATGTAGAAGGGAATGCAAACAAGGTTTGTGATTCCATCTATGTGGTACGGACAAGCTACGTGTGGTTTTGGAACTACGAGTATCCAATTTGTTTTCCTTGGGCAGTTCTTTGCTGTACACTTGAGGAGTTAGGGAACAAAGATTATGGCTGAGCTTAATAAAAAAAAAAAAGATAAGGTCAGCTCATGGCTCCTCCAAATTAGCGCATGGAGAGGGAAGGTGTTATCCTAATCTGATCCGTATAAGAAAAATAGGATTGCCCTTTGTCTTCATTGGGCGTTAGAGGTGATGTGGCTGCCATGGCCAATAGGCATTCATGCAAAAAGAGTTCTCTCTTCTTATTCTTATTGGTGCAAAGGGGTGGTGAAGTAAAGATTGAGAGGTATGTTATCAAAAAAAAAAAAAAGATTGAGAGGTATTGCCATGTGGCCACCTTTTGACCAATTCATGGCAAGCATACAGATTTTGTGAGAGATTACTAAGAGTTCACTTATCACATGCAATATATACATATTAATTATATAAAGATATTAATGTATGTGATTTTATATACCCACTAGTTAATAATTAAAGTTCCTACCTCAATCATAATTAATTATAATTCTATCCCCTTTTTCACTAGTGTTTAGAATTCTTAAAAATACATAAGTATTCACTCATAATTTCCATTAGAATAATTTCCCTAAATAAATTAATTTCACTCTAAACATAATTAAAATTTTAATTTCAAGCATGCTACTCACCCCTAATTGCACGTTATGAAGTTTTCTAATTTTGCGGGATGTTATAGGGATTTGTAATTTGTACATGAAGACTTGATGTAATATGGAAGTATGAAATATGATGAAAGGGCAATAGGCCTATTCTAGGATTGATTTATGTTTTATGTTGCAAGAAGCATGAAAATGAATATTGTGATTGAAATTGATTAAATTGAGGAAGTAAGCATGAATGATGTATAATGATTAAATTGGATATAAACTGTGTGGGTTGTAAGAGCACCAAGGCATTGCTGGTCCTTGTGTGCCACCCAATGATTATTAGGTACAATTTGAGGGTGTGAGAACACTTTTGCAAATTGGGGATTTATTGGAAAAACAAAAGAAACTCTAGCGAATTTTCTAGAAATTGGCAAAATTTAGGTGAAATTTGGGAGAGCATATCTTCCTCCGCAGAGGTCCAATAAGGATGTTCCGTATGCCGTTTTGAAGCTTGAGATGTCCTCTATCTTTTGGTGAAATTTGGGATTTTTATGGGTTGGGAGTCGGCATGTAGAAGGCAGAGAACACAGACTGCCCTGTTGGCCCCTACACATGGGGCTGATCTGGAGCGAACTTGGAGAATTTATTCCTGCTTCGTTTCTTGGTCAAATTAGGTGTATGATATGTAAAATTGAAGCTTTAGGTGTCTAGTTTGTTTTATGAAAATTTGACAGCAATTGGTTGAGTGTATTTTCCAGAATAATTGATTGAGTGAAGGATGTTTGGAGCTATTTTGGGGTTTGCTGGCAGATTTGCTTGTCCAACTTCAAACTGAGATATCCGGAGCAAACGAGAACTTTATGACTCGTGTGATAGCTTCCTATAAAGTTACGTAAGTCTAGAATAACACACTAAAATATGGGAGGCTTGTCGCATGCGGTTTGTCCGTAGAAAATTAAATATCGAACCATGTTCGGATAGGTAAAAAACGTAAAAGTGAGATTTTAGCTAAGTGGATTTATGGGAACCCCTTAGTGACTTGAGAGATGTAATATAAGTTATAAAATTAGTTTAAATAATTATTTCGCAAAGAGTTTATAGTTAAGGTCACATCTTTTATTTATTACGCTTTCTATTGTTTTAAATGCTCGCGTAATAAACGGAAAAAGTTTACTCGCATTTTTATAAATGAATTGTTGTGATTGTAACTGCGCTTAATATCATAATTAATGTTAACAATACCGGTGTACAATGGGCTGTTACAGTATGCATCAAGTAATACAATGTTTCATGTGAGCCCAAATTATCGTCCTCAGGGAACAATTGGAAAAATTGACGTTAAAAGACGTGAAAAAAAGAATTCAAGAAAGAGTAAGATAAAGAGCAGACATTTTTAGTTAGATTTCACAAAGGAGCATTATCTATCAACTAGTTAAACAGAGTTAACAAATCTGAATAGGCTAGCACTGGGTGTCCTCTTAACTTCATTGAACTTGAAGTAAGATGAATCAATAGAGATCAAAGTTAAAGCGAGAATGATTAACAAAGAACTTGAAAGTAACAAAACCATCAAGAATTGAAGAAAGCTAGTATTGTAACTAAAATTATCAAGAGCAATTGTAAGGTTGTGAAAGTATCAAATAATAAGTGATGCACTATTTTAAGAGGAATAAACTCAAATAAAACAAACAGTAGGTCTTGGGATTAGTATTTTTGCCCCCTTGGTTGTTCCTACAATGTAGTTTGAATTCTGAAATGAATTATGTTCTCGTCAACTTTAGCGGCTTAGGTTAAATCCTAGGTAATATGGAGTAAAGGCCTTTTACACCAAATCACACTAAGAAATCCTCGAATTGAAAACTTAAGGAGATTATGTTTGCCTTCTCAAAAAAGGATGGTTGAATGGATCACTAGCAAAAGTGATGTACACATAACAGTGCTCTTCATTCTGGGTATTCCCCTGACTCACAACAAAATACCCTAAGATTTCTAATATTGATCCACACTGCTTTGTGAGGGTTTCATTGACCAAGTGGTCCTGGGATGAGGTTGCAAACAAAAGGGTGTCACAAGATCAGAGCATTTAACCAAGAAACAACTCATAATTCATTAAAGAAAACATAGTTCCATTAAAAGTTCATCCTAAGACAAAGAAGGCTACTTTTACCTCACCCTTAACCTACTTAGAAACTTAGCTCATAAGGAGCATGATAAAAACTAGAGAATTACAAAAGAAAACTAAAACAAGACTCCGTACGAAGAACACGATCTCTGTAAAGGTCTTCCCCTTTTGTAGTGATGAGTGCTGGCTTCTTCGGTATATGATCTCAATCGCTCCTCAAATCTACGATTCATATTTCCTCAAATCCTCTCCAATAAAAGCGCTGCTCCCTGCCAACTCAGCCCTATTCTGCTGTGGTCCCCCTCCTTTTGCGATATTCTATCTAACATTTGTAGAGGTGAGGTGCTACTCCCACATTCCGTGCTATCACTGACGTAGAGGAGCTTGATTGGATGCTTTTATGCTCCAATGCTGCTATTTGCTTTTCTGTCTCCTTTTGTATTTTTCTGCTTTCATTTTTCCAAGTTTCTCCCTTGTTGGATTGGGTTTTATTTTGGTTGATCCTTAGGTTTCCTGTAGAGAACAATTTGACCCATTAAGCTTATGAAGAAATGATCAAGTCAAATTGCTCCAGCACTACTCTAATTCTCGCACTTAAGTGTTGCTTTATCTCTAATATGAACCTCACCAAGAATAGTGAAACCCAAGACCAATTTAGTTAGGATTATTTCTACAATCAGGAATTTAAAACAAGAAATAAAGAACCTTGATTGGTTATCTATGGAAGATAAGAACCAAAGGTATAGAAAGGATAAAGACGCCATACTCAAGAAAGAAGGTGAGTGATAAGTCTGGTTTGAACGCCACAAGAACAAACTTCTTGATAAGTTCAGAGTTCTAGATAAGAACCAAAGAGAAGAAACCTCTCGATTATATTATAACTTCAAAATCTGATTACAAGAGTTGTAGCCTCCCTAATTTATACTTGGAACATCCCTACAAGAATAGGAAATGACTAACAAATGAAAAGACACTAATTTAAAGTTGACAAGTTGGAAAAAGGAAAAGACTTTAATCATCCCAATAAACATTAATGACATTGGAAATATGACTCAACCCCACTAAGCATTAATAACATTGAAAATGCTATCAGCCCCACTAGGCATTAATGACATTAAAAATTGCTAATTATTCCAATCAACCTCCCTTGCATTGATGGCATTAACTAAATTCTGATTATGAATAAATTTGGACTTGATGTCTTCATGATTAGCCCACATTTTCTGGATCAACCCACTAAGAACTTCTTTAAACTTCTTGGCCCTTGATCTCGTGATTGGCCCATTTGGTAATTGTAATGGATCACTAAGTGTTGTCTCTTTTTTCATATTAATCCCAATTCAGCAATAAAATGCTGCTGAGGATAAACTTGAAATAAAATAGTAAACATTTAGCAAAAATTTGGATTCAATGAGAAATTAAACGATAATGGGTATCAATTTTTGAGGACCATCAATGCCTTAACTAAACACCTTCTATTACATATCATCACTGTTAACTAATTCCCTAACAGATTATTAGCTGACTCGGAGTATTAACAACACGTGTCCAAAAGTTTACAACCACTAAATTCTACAATAAATAGTCTTTTGACCAAGCTCAGTCACGTTTCTGCCTCAATGCTCTTGTACGCATAACACATCGTCATCTGATAGGGGACCTTGGCTTTCTGGTTGCTCCTCTTAGATCTCCTCAAGGGAGTTCAAAGTTACCAACACTATGCCATGCATCTCCTTTTGTTTTTCTATCACCAACAAATACAACAAGGATTAAGAAAATATGAGGAAAAATGGCACGTAAATTGATGAACTTAAATATTCAAAAAATTTGGCTTCTAACCTATTCTCTAGGAGAGTATTGCATATAATGTTTCCTTTGACATCATACCAAGCTTTAAGCTTGGCCAACGCTCTTTTATCCAGGGGAGACAAGTCAGCCTCCCGAAACTGCAAATAGTGCTTGCAGTTGTTGACATAATGGTTAGAATCCCAGTACAAGGTAAACTTTTATTTTCTTTTGTCATTCTGGAAGAAAGGCTCTTTATTTACGTCAAAAGAGTAAATCTTAAAAAAGTTATCCTTGAAGTTCTTGTAGGAGCAAGCATAAACGAAAAAGAACAAAAGGTCTTTGGAAGTCGCTCACCCATCTTTTTTGTTTAAATTGGGTCACTTGAAAATATACATGAACTATTGGACGATGGGACACTCACCCAAAAAATATCACCATAAGTTGAAACGCCCTAACAAATGCCCAAATGTTGGGATGTTGCTGTAAAGGAGCTATCATTAACCAGTTGAAAAAATATTCCATGGTAGAAAAGGGAAGAGTTACTCTTAAATCGGGTAAATAACACTTGTACATAAAGAAAAAATGATGTTTATAATCTACAGGATCTCGCCCATAATAGATCTAATCAGTACGATTGGCCA